ATTGGTCGAGAGGTGGGAAGAGATAGTAAACAGAAACGGCGAATACATTATTAGTTGATTTATTGCTAAACCATTGATTTTTGTTTAAGTAAAAGTTTTTGGAAAAAAAACGCTACGAACTTATTCCCCAACCCAATACTACGCGACGCGCTGTATCACGGGCTTCTTCAGGGCTTAGCTCATAGCTTGCTGGTCCGTCGATCTTGTAATTTTCAGGTTCATTTTGTCATTTTGGAATTACACCATTATCAGCCATTATCACCCGCCATCAAATCATATAATTGCGATCCATTATAGGTTGTGAGCGGAAGTGCGTTGAAGCGGGCTGCTCATTTAAAGATACAGGCAATTGGAGTGGAACGAAAGCAACCAGAATGTGCGCAACAATATTTTTGTTAACTATTGAAGGAAAAAAAGCTCTCAAGCCATCTGAAACGTTATTGTTTACTGTCGTCTAAGCATTCGGCAGTAAATAATCATACTATAGTTGACGCCGAATGATGAAGGGTAGTCTAATAATAATATAATACTCTCGCATTTTTTGAGCTTTCCTATCTCTCCCGCATTCTTGAAGAATGAAGCCTCTTTGTCTGAGCTTAAAGCGCAGCTATTGCTTGGAATCAATATATTCGTTATTGAGCATGTTTCCGAGATTGTCATCTCCATTTTACAGCTTATATCGATTAGCCGTTGTCGGCTAAAAATCTGTTTCAACGTATTGGTTTGCCTTTTTTTGTAAGATTCAAACTGTGCATAAACCATTCTGGGGCTGTGCGGGTGCCTTAGACTTTTGCCCGCAAATTTCATCAGATGGTGTATTCGTGCATTTGTCTCTGTAAACACAATGGTCTTTAAAGAAAGCATCTGAGTATTTACTATATGTAATCACAGAAAATTGCAGGCTCACAGAGTTGAGTCTGTGGGGGATGGGGGATAGACTTCGAAGAAGGCTCGCAATTTTCTGTGATTCGACTTTAAAGTTTTAGTGTACAATATTTATTATCTAGATTAAGTAATGTTTACTTCTACTTCATATACTCCTTTTAACAGAAGCAGAAATTGATGACAGCGAAAAATCCCCGCAAAATACAAAGCCTGGATTATAGGTTAGAGATATAAATGAGAGAAGCTGCGAATGTCAGCTAGTAAATACTGAAGTCGCTAGTAAAATGAACAAGTGCTAATAATTTGTTTCAGTAAGTATCCTAATCTACATATATCGGACGCAGGACCGAACTCCGATGCGGTAGGACCAAGCTTTGTAGCAACACACCAACCCGCCGCATGGACAACACCCACGCCCAGCGTTAATAAAAGGATTAGTGGCACGGCTGAACGCTGGTGCGG